AGTATGGAGTGTGGTGTCGGGATGCTGCGTCTGTAAGGATCCTGCCTTTGTAAAAGATACCCGCACCGACTCATCATGCCAGTCAACAGAGCTGCTTCTATTGGTCGTATCGCGCTGCGGAGCATTGTTGATATTTACCGGGGCACCAGGCATGGCGATCTGGGCATAGGCTGCATTGATTTGCAGGGTACCTGCAACGACCAATAAGAGGATAAAATAACAGATGCAGCGCAATGCTTATGATTTTATAAAAAGGGCAGTAAAAATCTCATTGCCAGCTATTATCCAAGGAATATGGATAGCCGGCCAATCGATGCGCAAAGGTAAGGTAACGGGAGGATTGGCAAAGCGTTTGGAATGAATTGTTGGTAGTATTTACTACAAGGGAAAGTCAGGCCCTGATCGCTTATCAGCTGAATATTTATAGCCTTCTGTTTTTAACAAGGTTGGCGTGGCGGCGCAGATAATAAGCATAACCTCAGCAATAGGTTGATTGACTTTACCACAGCCTGTTTTTTTAATGACAACGCATACCTGGGAATTGCAAATTCCCGCCCAGGTTGCGCTGGATTTAAAAAATCCAGCGCAACCTGGAAATGAAATTATTACATACGTGCGATCAGCTCAGCAACGAGTGCCGCCAGCTTGGGAGCCGCTTCATTGGCCGCCGCCAGCACTTCTTCATGCGTGATCTTATTCAGCTCTTCGCGGATGCCCATATCGGTAACAATACTGGCGCCAAACACCTTCATGCCGCCGTGGATCGCCACAATCACTTCCGGTACCGTACTCATGCCTACGAGGTCGGCGCCACAGGTATGAAGCCAATGGTATTCTGCGCGGGTTTCAAAAGTCGGGCCTTGCAGACCGGCATAGATACCGCGGTGTATGGGTAATTGTTGTTCACTGGCAATCGTTGTGGCCAGGTCCAGCAATGCATAGTTATAAGGCTCGCTCATGTCCGGGAACCTTGGGCCGAAGCGCTCATCATTCCTTCCTCTCAGCGGATGTTCGGGGAACAGGTTGATATGATCCTGTATCAATACAATATCTCCAACCTTAAAATCCCGGTTCATCCCACCGGCCGCATTGGATACAAATAAGGTTTCGACGCCCAGCGCACGCATGACACGAACGGGAAAAGTAATCT